CACCCAAATCCTCCAAACCCCCCAAATCTTCCAAATCCCCCAAATGCCCCAAATTTCACCAAGTTCCCCCAAATCTTTCAAATCTCCCAAATCCCCCGTAGTCCCTAAATTCCCCAAAACTCCCCATTTCCACCAAATCCCCAAATCTCCCAAATTTCACCAAATCCCCCAAATCCTCTCCACCAACCCCCCATCCCCCCTCCCCCTGACTTTGGGGTCTCCCCCCGGGGGTTTTGGGGTCGCCCCTGACTTTGGGGTCCCCCGGGGTTTTTGGGGTCCCCCCTGACTTTGGGATCCCCCCGGGGTTTTTTGGGGTCCCCCTTACTTTGGGGTCCCGCAGCCCCCCCGGGGGTCCGGCCCTGCAGGAGCTGTTCCAGCGCTGCGTCCCCGTCCAGGTGAGCCCCAATTTCGGGGGGGTCTCCTCCTCTTTTGGGGTCCCTGCGAATTTTGGGGACCTCCCCGGGATTTTAGGGACCCCCCTGACACCCCCGTTCCCCCCCCAGTGCCGCCCAGCCAGCGACGAGGAGCTGCTGCTGGTGCACAGGTGGGGGCTGGGGGGGATTCCGGGGCTTTGGAGGGATTTGGGGGAGCTTGGGGGAATTTGGGGGGATTTGGGGGAGCGGTCTGGGGGCTTTAGGGGGTCCATAGGGGCGTGTTAGGGTTTGGGGGCTGGGGGGCGTCTGTGGGGCTCTGGAAGGGTTTGGGGTGTCCCTGTGGGGTCTGTGGGGGTCCATAGGGGCTCTGTAAGGGTTTGGGGGGTCCCTATGGGGTTTGTGAGGGTCCATAGGGGTCTGGGGAGGTTCACAATGATGTACAGGTTTCCATAGGGGTCCAAAGGGATCTGGGGGGGTTCTATAGGGGTATGTAGGGTTTCATATGGATCAATAGGGGTCTATAAGGGTCTGGGGGGTTCCATAGAGATCTGGGTGGTTCTGTAGGGGTATGTAGGGTTCCATAGGCTTCCATACACATCCATTGTATTCCATAGGGGTCTGTAGGGGTCTGTGGGGCCCTGCAGGGGTTTGTGGAGTTCTGTGGGGGTATATAGGGTCCCATGGGGTTCCATACAGATCCACAGGGATCTGTGGGGTTCCATAGGGTTCCATAGGGTTCAGTTCGGATCTATAGGATTCCATGTGGGTCCATAGGGGTCCACAGGGGTCTGGGGGGGTCCATGTGAATGCAGTGGATTCCACAGGGGTCTGTGGGGTTCTGTAGGGGCGGATGGAGTTCCATAGGGTTCCACAGGGTCCCATAGGGTTCCACAGGGCTCTCTCCCGTGTCTCTGCAGCCCCCAGGACCCCCAGGACCCCCCCCAGCCCGCGGCCGTGGCCGCCCGGGTGGCGCAGAAACAGCTCGGGGTGCAGCGGTGAGGGGGGGCAACGACGGGGGAGGGGGCAACGG